GAGGCGTGCGGCAGGCGGTCCATGCGTCGGGCCTCCTTGGGGCTCGGTCCGGGTGAAGACCCCGGTTGGGAGTCGGGTCAGCATCACGCACTGGGACCCTGAGGGTCTTACCCTTAGCCCTTACTCGGCCACCCGCTTCTGCCCGCTTTGGCTCACTGCCAGGGTCCTCGTCATTCTGTACGGATTTCGGCTCAGTGCGTGCAGACCCAGAGCCCCGGGGCAGGGGTCTCGAACCCGCGATCGCCCTGTGTGACTGGGCTCGGCCCTGCTGTGCAGCTGAGCAGGCAGGGGGAGCACTGGCCTGGGGACCCCCGCAGAGCTTTGGGGGGAATCTGCATCAGGACGGCCCCCGAAAAGAGGGGGGACGCGTGACAAAGTGCGCGACGCTCATGGCTCTTCTCCTCTTAGCTGCTAAGGAGCGCGCTTTTTCCAAGCCCGGAAGGCAGTGCACGAAGCCAGGTCCCATCAGCCATGCACCCAACAGGTTGGCCTCAGGTGAGCTGAGCTTCCTTTCCCCTCTCTTTAACTCCCGTGACCAGGTAATCAGGAAAGGAGGAAGAAGGCGGGACTTGACCAGGCTCTGGATTTCCCATTGCTTTTCTCAGCATGGGCTGTGGAAGAGGAGAAGATGTGGTGGGAGAAATAAAAAGAGTTTTGTGATTGGAGAGCGGTGGACTTGGATGTGTAGAAGTACGTACAAGAAAAGGGACCCAAGTCAGGACATTTTCCAGAATGTGGAAATCTACATCTTGTTCTACAAACAAATGTCACCTGCTGAAATCAGAGCAATTCCTCCTTGATGAAATTGTTCAGCAAATTGCAGATGTCCTAATTCCTTCTCCATTCTCCTCCTTGGATTTTGGGCCTGCGGTGCTGTGAGTTTCAAGCCCCTGGGTCCTATGTGAACTGAAGTCGGCCATGTAGGAGTCCAGTGCCTTAGCTACGATGCCACCCTCTGGCCCCTGCACTTTCCTTTTTAATTTTTTTGGTCATTTATTATTACTATTATTTTTTTAGTTTTTTTTGCCGTAAGTTGTGTGCACCTACCAGAAAGAGAGAGACAGCAAGTGAGAGAGAGCAAGAGAGAGGGAAAGTAAAAAAAATCACCCTCCGTGTGGCAGCCCTTTCTCCTGCATTCTCCTCTTGGGATTTTGGGCATGCACGCACACATACATGCCTGGCACCTGG